TAAAGAAAATCTCTCACAACTACATAATACATGAAAATCAAACAAAAAGCTCCTATAAAACTTCCAGCCAACATCAAAATTAAGGCAGAAATAAAAACATTCTTTTAAATTAATAAAAATAGAAACACAACTTAACCAAAATTTCTGGGATGCTGGTGAAGCAGTGTTAAGACAAAAGTTTATAGCCTTAAATAGCCTTATGAAAAAGTGAGGAAGATCTCAAATTGACCATCTAACTCAATAACCAAATGAATTAGACAAAATAAATGCAAACCAACTCCAAAGCTACTAGAAGAAAAGAAATAACTAAAATTAGAGAAGAGCTTAATAAAATTGATATGCCAAAATCCATATGAAAGATCAATGAAATTCAAAGTTGATTTCTCAAAAGTAGATTGATAGACCACTAGCTACATTAAAAAAAGAAGATTCATATAAGTGCAATCAGAAACAACAAAGGTAATATTGCAACTGATCCCACAGAAATACAAATGTTTCTCAGAGACTACTCTGAAAAATTTATGCACAAAAATTAGACAACCTAGAGGAGATGAGTAAATTCCTGGAAGCACAACATCTCACCAGATTGAATCTGGAAGAAACTGAAACCCTGAATAGACCAATGTTAACTTCTGAAATTGAATCAGTAATAAAAAACATACCAACCAAAAAAAGTCATGGACCAGATGGATGCACAGCTGAATTCTACCAGCCATATAACCTATAAAGATGAATTGATGCAAGTCCTACTGAAACTATTCCAAAAACCAAGGATGAAGGGTTTCTGCTTAACTCATTCTATGAACCAAGCATCAGCCTGATACCAAAACCTGGCAGAAGCATAATGATAAAAGAAAACCGGGTCAATATTCATGGTGAACATAGATGCAAAAATCCTCAACAAAATGTTAGCAAACCAAATCCAGTAACCCATCAAAAAGCTAATACATCATGTTCAATGAGACTTTATTCTTGGGATACTAGGGTGATTTATATGCATTTCTTGTTATGCAAATCAAGAAATGTGATGTACTACAGAAACAGAATTAAAAGCAAAAACCATGTAAATCATCTCAATAGATACAGAAAAAGTTTTCAATAAAATCTAAAATCCTGTCATGATACAAACCTCAAGAAACTAGGCATCATAGGGACATATCTCAAAATAAAAAGAGACTTCTATCATAAGCCCATAGCCAACATCATACTGAATTGGCACAAGAATGAATAATCCCCCTTCAGAACTGGAATAAGACAAGGATGCCCACTCTCACCACTCCTATTCAGCATAATACTGGAAGTCCTAGCCAGAGCAGCCAAAAGAAAGACATAAAAGACATCCATATAGGAAAAGATGTCAAAGTATCTCCATTCACTGACAATATGATTTTGTACTTAGAAAATCATAGACTTTGGCAAAAGGCTGCTACAATTGATAAATGACTTTAATAAAGTTTCAGTATCAATGTGTACAAAAATCAGTAGCATTTTCTTTTTCTTTTTTTTTGGGTGGGGAGGAGGGGGAAGGCGGAAAAGAAAGAAAGAGAAAGAGAAAGGGGAAGAGAGAACAGGAGTCTTGCTCTATTGCCCAGGCTGGAATGCAATCTAAAAATAGGTATTCAAAACCTCTTTTATGCCGATAATTGTGCTTAACAGCTGAGACAGGAAGGAATAAGGTAAGAAAAAAACAAACGGCCAGCCAATATTTCATTTAAATCTGTGAAATGCTATGCAAATGCTGAAGAGTGATTTACTTCCATTTATGTGGTCAATTTCAAAATAGGTGTAATGTGATACTGAAAAAAATGTATGTTTTGTGGACCTCGGGTGAAGAATTCTATAAATATTCACTGAGTTTACTTGTTCCAGGTCTAAGTTCAAATCATAAATGTCCCCGTTAATTTTCTATCTCATTGATCTGTCGAATATTAACAATGGTGTCAAAATCTCCCACTATTATTGTGAGGGAGTCCAAGTCTCTTTATAAGTCATTAAGAACTTGTCTTATGTATCTGGGTGTTCCTATATTAGGTGCATATATATTTATGATCATTGACTCCTGTTGTTACATTGATCCTTTTACCATTACGTAATGTCCGTCTTTGTTTCTTTCAGTCTTTGTTACTATTAAAGTCTATTTTGTCACAGATGAAAGTTACAACTACTGTTTTTTTTTCTTTTTTTTTTTCTCTCCATTTAATTGGTGAGTCTTCCTCCAACCTTCTGTTTTGAGTCTTTGTGTGTCTTTGCTTATAAGATGGATCGGGATACATCGTGCTGATGGGTTTTGACTTTTTATTCAATTTGCGTGTCTGTGTCTTTGATGGGGGCGTTTAATCCATTTAAATTTAGAATTAATATTGATATTTGTGAGTTTAATATTGTCATTTAATGCTAGCTGGCTATTTTGCACATTAGTTGATATAGATTCTTCATTATGAAGATACTCTTTACCTTTTGGTAAGTTTTTGGGATGACTGATACTGGTTGTTCCTTTCTGTGTGTAGTGCTTCTTTCAGAAGCTCTTGTAAAGCAGGCCTGGTGGTGATGAAATCTCTGAGTGCTTGCTTGTTCATGAAAAAATTTATTTTTCCTTCGTTTATGAAGCTTAGTTTGGCTGGATATGAGATTCTGAGTTGAAAATTCTTTTCTTTGAGGATATTGAATATTGACCCCCACTCTCTTCTAGTTTGTAGGGTTTCTGCTGAGAGATCTGCTGTGAGTCTGATAGGCTTCCCTTTATGGGTAACCTGACCTTTCTCTCTAGCTGCCCTTAGAATTTTCTCCTTTATTTCAACCCTAGTGAATCTAATGATTATGTGTCTTGGGGTTGCTCTTCTTGAGGAATATCTTTGTGGTGTTCTCTGTATTACCTGGAGTTGAGTATTGTCCTGCCTTACTAGGTTAGGAAAGTTTTCCTGAATGATATCCTGAAGAATATTTTCCAGCTTGGATTCATTCTCTTCATGACATTCAGGTACACCTATCAAATGTAAATTAGGCCTTTTCACATAGCCCCATATTTCTTGGGGACTTCGCTCATTCCTTTTTATTTTTTCTTCTCTAATCTTGTGTTCTTGTTTCATTTCATTAAGTTTGTCTTCGACCTCTGGTATCCTTTCTTCCGCTTGATCAATTTGAGTGTTAAAACCTGTGCATACTTGTGGAGTTCTCGTATTGTATTCTTCAGTTCCATTAATTCACTTATATTCCTCTATAAATTGTCTATTCTCATTAGGATTTCGTCAAACCTTTTTTCAAGGTTCTTAGTTTCTTTACATTGGGCTAGAACATGTTCTTTTAACTCAGAGAAGTTTCTTCTTATCCACCTTCTGAAGCCTAATTCTGTTACTGGAACACACTCATTCTCCATCAGGCCTTGTTCCCCTGTTGATGAGGAACTGTGATCCCCTGTAGAGGGAGAGGCATTCTGATTTTGAGTATTCTCAGCCCTTTTACGCTGGTTTCTTCCCATCATTGTAAATTTATCCACCTGTCATCTTTGTAATTACCGACTTTCAAATTAGGTCTCTGAGTGGACGTCCAATTTGTTGATTCCCATAGCCAAAATCTGAGCAGCCCACTGCGCCGGCCAAAACAGTGGCGTTAAGATTTGTGGTGCTTTTCTGCCCAGGAATCTCCCATCTGGCTTCCCTCTTGAGTCCCTTTTTCAATCAGCTGAATGGGCGACTGCCTTCCTGGAGCTCCAAACGTCTATCAAAAGGGGACCCAGTCCCGTTTACTCTGCACCAAGAACCACCGTACCAGGGCACCAGCAAAACCACTGCACAGGCCACAAGAGTCGCCTTGGCGACCCATGGGGCTCCTCCGCTGGGAATCTCCTGGTCCACGAGCAACAAATTCACCTGAAAGTGTGGCATCCTCTCATTCTCTGTGCTTTCACTGGGAGCTACAATCCTGAGCTGCTAGTAATCAGCCATCTTGGATCTCTCTCTTCTTAGTAGCATTTTCATATACCAACAATATCCAAGCTGAGAGTGAAATCAGCAGCACAATTCCATTTACAATAGCCACAAACAAAATGAAATACCTTGGAATACAGCTAACATAAAAGGTGAAAGATCTCTATTAGGAGGCCTACAAAACATGTCTGAAAGAAATCAGAGATAAAAACAAATAATGAAAAAACAGTCCATGCTCATGATTGAAATAATCAATATTATTAAAATGGCCATACTGCCTAATGTAATTTATGGATTCAATGATATTTCTATCAAACTACTGATTTTGTTTTTACAGAGTTAGAGACAAACTATTCTAAAATTCGTAAGGATGGAAAAAAGAGCTCAAATAGCCAAAGCAATTCTAACAAAAAGAGCAAAGCCAGAGTTATCACACTACCCAACTTTAGGCTATATTATAAAGCCACAGTAACTAAAACAGTATGATAATGGTGCAAAACCAAACACACAAAACAATGGAATAGAAGAGAAAAGTAAGAAATGATGCCTTATGCTTACAGCCGTCTGAACTTTAACAATGCTGGCAAAAACAAGCAACAGGGAAAGGGCTCCCAATCCAAAAAATGGTGCTAGGATAACCGGCTAACCATATGCTGAAGACTGAAGCTAGACCTCTACCTTTCACCATATATAAAAATTAACTCAAGATGGATTAAGGATTTAAATGTAAGACCTCAGACTATAAAAATCCTAGAAGATAACCAAAGAAATACTCTTTTGACATTGAACTTAGCAAATAATTTTTGGCTCATCTCCAAAAGCAATTAGAACAAAAACAAAAATTGACAAGGGTAACCTAACTAAATTTAAAAGCTTCTGCACATTAAGAGAAACTATCAATAGAACAGACAATGTAGACAATGGGAGAATCTATTCACAAGCTATGCATCAAATATAGTTCTAATACCCAGAATCTCTAGGAAACTTAGTTCAAGAAAAATAAAATAACTCCATTAAAAATGGGCAAAGGACATGAATAGACACTTCTCAAAAGAAGTCATACAAGTGGCCAATGAACATATAAAATATCCTCAGCATCACTGATCATCAGATAAATGCCAAGGAAAACCACAATGAGATACCATCTCATCCCAGTCAGAATGGGTATTCTTCAAAAGTCAGAAATCATAAGATGCTGGCAAGGCTGTGGAGAAAAGGGAACACTTATACACTGTTGGTGGGAATGTAAACTAGTTCAATCACTGTGGAAAGCAGTTAGGAGATTTTCCAAAGAATGTGACTGAGCTATAATTCAACCCAGGGATCCGATTACTGGATATATACCTGAAGGAAAATAAATCATTCTACCAAAAAATGCATGCACTTGTATGTTCATCACTGTGCTATTCACAATAGCAATTACATGAAAACAACTAAGGTGCCCATTTTTGGTAGACTAGCTAACGAAAGTGATACACACACACACACACACACACACACACACACACACACACACACACACATATATATATATATATACTGTGAAATAGTGTGCATCCATAAAAAGAATGAAATCATATCCTTTGCAGCAACATGCGTATAGTTGAATGACATGATTCTAAGCGAATTAATGTAAAAACAGAAAACAAAATACCATGTGTTCTGACCTATAAGTGAGAGCTAAATATTGAGTACACATGGACATAAATATGGGAAAAATAGTAAGATCTACTAGCAGGGGAAGGGGAAAAGGGAGTGCAGATTTTAAAATTATCTATTGAGTAATTTTAAAATTATCTATTGATAATTTTAAAATTATCTATTGAGTAATTTGGGGCACAAATCCTGGGTGACAGGATTTGTGCCCCAAACCTCAGCATTACTCAATATTCCCACACAGCAAACCTGCACATGCACTCCCCTATCTAAAATAAAAGTTGAAATTATGAAAAAAGAAATACAACACTTTACAGTAAAAGTCTGAGTTTCACATGTCAAAAAAAGAAAATTAATGGAAAGGGGTACAGGCAGTTTTAAAGGTGCACTGTTTGCTGTGTTAGTAAAGTTTATGTGTTATAAATTTAAATTATAGTGTTATTTTAGAATATTACATGCAATTACTTTGGTAATCACAAAGAAAATTACTGCAAAATAACACCAAAAGCAGTAAGAAGAAAATGTAAATATTTCACTAGTTTTAAAAAATGAACTAATCTTAAGACTGTAATGCAACAAATAGGGAACAAAATTATCTGTAAAACGTATAGAAAGGAAATATAAAAATAATAGAAATCTCTTTTCATCAGTAATTATAAATGAGTAAAGTTCCCTGATCAAGAGACTGAGATTGGCAGAATAAATGAAAAAAAAATTAATCCAACTATATGCTGTTTGCAAGAAACTTGCTTTAGACCCAGGGAAACAGGTTGAAAGAAAAAGTGTGGAGAAGTATATTCCTTGCAAATAGTAACCAAAGGAGATAAGGAAAAATTCTATTGACACTAGAAAAATAAATTTTATATCAGAGCTCACCACAGTGGCTTAAAGTAGTTTGGGTCCTAAATAAATAGAAAGGTAGTCTAGGCCACAAAGACTGTAATTCCTGGACAAGTCCTGGTGCTATGCTGGGCTTGGAGTCTGTGGTCTTCTGCGGCACATTACTTAGTGAGACATCAGCTGGAGTGGCCAAGGGAGTGCTTGCTTCACAGCTAACCTAACAATAGACAATGCAGCTCCACAACTGCAGGAGAAACTTTTTCCTGTTTTAGGAGAGAAGAGGGGAGAGTAAATATAACTTTAACTTGCAACTAGGATACCAGCTCAGTCACAATAGCATAGGGAACAAAGTGAGTTCTGTGACTTCTATTCCAGGTTGTAGCTCCCAGATGACAATTCTAGACATACCCTGGACCGGAAGGGAACTCACTACCTTGAAGAGAAGGAACCAATCTTAGCAGGGTTCATCACCTGCTTACTAAAGAGCTCTTGAGTCCTGAACAATCAGCAGCAGTATCCAGGCAATACTTGCAATAAGCCTCGTGAGAGACTCCAAGCTATGCTGGCTTCAGATATGACCCCATATATTCCCATCTGTGGTGTCTATGGAGAAAGACTCCTTCTGCTTGAGGAAAGGAGAGGTAAAAGTAAATGGGACTATGTCTTGCAGCTTGGGTACCAGTTTGGCCATAGTGGAGGAAAATAGCATACAGGCTCCTAGGTCACCAGTTCTAGGTTTTGGCTCTTGAATGGTATTTCAAGACCTGCCCTGGGCCAGAGGGAAGCTCTTGCCATGAAGGGAGAGACCCAGGCCTGGCAGCATTTACCACAAGCTGACCGAAGAGCTCTTGAGCCTTGAATGACTGACTATTGGTGGTCGCCAGGCTGTACTCATCAAGGGCCTGTAGCCACAGGAAGAGACTCCTCTGCTTGAGGAGAGGGAAGGAAAGAGTGGGAAATACTTTGTTTTGTGGCCTGGCTGCCAGCTGAGCTGCAGTAAAATAAAGCACTGGGTAGAGTCCTGAGGTTCCCAACTACAGGTCCTGACTCCCAAATGGCATCTCTGGACCCATCTGAGGCAGGGGGAACTTGTCACCCTTAAGGGAAAATACAAGCCTGGCTGGATTTGCTACCTGCAGATTGTAGAGTCCTTGGGCCATAAATAAATATAGGTAATAGCCAGGCAGTGGTCACCATGGGCTTTGGGCCAGTCTCAGTCCTATGTTGACTTTGGATCTGACCTAGTACAGTTCTAGTGGTGGTGGCAACAGCGGGGCTTGTGTGACCTCTCACCCAGCTCCAGTCAGCTCAGTTAAGAGACTCTATTTGTTTCAGAGAAAGTAAGGGAAGAGGGCAAAAGTATCTGCCTTGAAATCCAGGGAATTCTCCTTCATCTTAACCAAGACTGCCAAAGCGGTACTTCTGTGAGTCTGCAAGAGACACAGTGTTGATGGGCTTGGGGTGCCCCCAGATGCAGATATGGCAGCAGTGGCAAAAGATACAGCTTACAATATCTAAGTCCCTTGAATACTTGGAACGTCTTCCAAAGAAGGATGGATACAAACAAGCTAAGACTGAGAAAATTATAGTACATACACAACTTTTCAGTGCCCACACACTGATGAACATTTACAAGCATCAAGAACATCCAGGAAAACATGGCCTCACCAAGTGAACTAAATAAGATCGATTCAGAGAGAGATATATGACCTTTCAAACACAGAATTCAAAATAACTGGTTTGAGAAAGCATGATGAAATTCAAGGTAATACAGGGAAGGAATTCAGAATACTTTATATATTTCACAAAAATATTGAAAAAATTAAGCAAGCAAAACTTCTGGAGATGAAAAATGCAATTAACATACTAAAGAATGCATCCGTTTCTTACCTGCAGAATTGATCAAGCAGAAGAAAGAATTAATAAGCTTGAAGACAGTCTATTTGAAAATATACAGAGGAGACAAAAGAAGAAAGAACTTAAAAAAAGAAGCATGTTTACAAGATCTAGAAAACAACCTCAAAAGGGAAAATCTAAGTGTTATTGGCATTAAAAAAGGAAGTAGAGAGAGAGAGAGATAAGGTTAGAAAGTGTATTCAAAGAGATAATATCAGAAATTCCCAAACCTAGATATCAACATTCAAGTGCAAGAAAGTTATAGAAAAATGAGCAGATTTAACTCAAAAAATACTATCTCAAGACAATTAATAATCAAACTCCCAAAGGCCAAAGATAAAGGATTTTTAAAGCAGCAAGATAAAAGAAACAGCGTACAATGGAGCTCCAGTATGTCTTGAGGCAGACTTTTCCATGGAAACGTTGCAGCCCAGGAGAGGGAGATATGACATACTTAAAGTGTTGATGGAAAAATAAAATCTTTTCCTAGAATAGTGTATCCTGTGAAAATATCCTTCAGGCCTGAAGGAGAAACAAAGACCTTTGCAGACGAATGAAGCTGAGGAATTTCATTAACACCAGGCCTGCCCTATAAGAAATGCTAAAGGAAGTTCTTCAATCTGATAAAAAAAAAAAAAAAGACATTAATGAGCAATAATAAATCATCCAAAAATACAAAACTCACTGATAATAGACACAGAAAAACACTGAACATTGTAAGTGTATTGTGTAAACTACTCTTTAATAGAAAGACTAGATGAAGAATCAATGAAAAGTCATAACTAAGATCACTTTTCAACATATAGATAGTACAATAAGACATAAAGAGAACAAAAATATAAAAAACAGAGGAATAATGTTAAAGTGTAAGGTTTTTATTAATTTTCTTTTACCTGTTTATTCGTTTACATAATCAGTGTTAAGTTGTTATTGGCTTAAAATAAAGATTTAATAGATTGTATTCACAAGCTTTATGTTAACCTCAAATTAATTATATCTATATCTATATCTATATCTATATCTATATATATATACACACAATGAATACACACACAAAAAAAACAGCAAGAACTTAAATCATAGAACCAGAGAAACTCACCTTCTAAAAGAAAGACAAGAAGAAAGGAAAAGACCACAAAACAACCAAAATACAAATAACAACATAGCAGGTGTAAGCCCTTGCTTATCAATAACATTGGATGTAAATGCATGAAACTCTCCAATCAAAAAGCGTAGAATAGCTGAAGGGATAAAAAAAAAAAAGAACCAATGATCTGTTGCCTACAGGAAATACATGTCACCTATAAAAATACATACAGACTGATAGCAAAGGGATGGAAAAAAGATATTCCATGAAAATAGAAACCAAAACAGAGCAGGAATGGCTATTCTTATATCAGACAAAATAGATTTCAAGTCAAAAACTATAAGAAGAGACAAGATTATTATATAATGATATCAGTTCAGCTTGTGGATATAAGAGTTGTAAATATATGTGCATTCGGTGCTAGAGAAACGAGATATATTTCACAAATATTATTAGAGCTAAAGTGAGAGATAGGCCCCAATGCAATAATAGAGATTTTAACACCCTACTTTCACCCATTCATCATTATACAATGAAAATCCAACCTACAATGAGATATTATCTCACCCCGGCTCAAATGGCTTTTATACAAAATCGGGCAATAAAGAATGCTGGCAGTGTGTTATCAACAGCAAATAATCATGAAGTTATTATTGGAAAATATTTTTATTACAATTAGTCAATGCCTCT